TGTGGCAGAGCCAACTTCTTATAAACACTCTGCAAAATCACTGAAGGGAAATACTTCGCGGTCTTCACCCAGCTGTATCTCTGGGTATTAGACACAGCAAAACCATGTCTTGGGATCTTGCAATATTCAGGTTTTTCAAATGCTATTTATACATACGAAAGCAATCTTGCTGGAATGTATGAAAGTACTCTCTGGAAGGGTATTAGGAGAAATTCAACCTGTAAAAGCATCTTCTGCATGATTAACTTGAGAGGCTTTTAGGTCACTCTGTATAACATCCATAGAAAGTGATCCACTGCTGCTTGGCAGATCAAGGGCCGTTCACACTCACTCTTCCAGGCATCTTACTCAAGTGTGACTAGAAGCATCTAAAATGAGGAGTGTAAGGGAATGTTCCTATCATCTAATCTGGGTTCCTAACTTAGTTGTCTAAATTAGGCATCTAGGGTTTAATTATGCATCCTGGTCCCTCTGTACAGTGAAGGGAGAGCTCCAGCAGGCTGTTCTTAGAGAATCTGGTCCAAGTTTTTGTTAGAGACCTGAACTTAGAAGAGGGTCCATCCCTGGCAGTGTTCAGGGCCAGGCTGGATGGGGCTTGGAGCAACCTGCTCTAGTGGAAGGTGTCCCTGCTGTGGCAGGGGGTTGGAATTGGGTGCGTTAAGGTCCCTTCCAACACAAACCAGTCTGGGATTCTATGTTGCAGACATGAAAAAAGGTGAAATGAGTTTGAGGTGCTCAGAAGATGCTGTTTTCCACCCTCACTGGGCTGTTACGAGCAATAGGTCAGGGAAGACTCAGGCTGTGTTTCTGCCCAGTCTGTGTTATTTCCAGTCCTGATACGTAGATCAGATCCTCAGCTGTTGCAGACCAGCATACCTTCAGGAACTACTTGGCGCTCCCACATTGTACACTGGCATAGAAGGAAGCCCTGTGTGCTCCAGTCAGGAGTGGGAGTTGTTCTCTCCAGCTTTTCCACTATAGCTAAGGCACTCTGCCATGGTCCTGCCAGAGTTCTGTGTTCTTGTTTGAGGCAAGGACACAAGCAGGCAGTGCTTGGAGTTCAGATATCCATGGAAACCCCAGTGTTTAGCAGAAAGGGGTGGGTTTGCTTGCATTAATTGTAGCAGAAAAGAGGTGGCTCGGGAGGCCACCGGTGGGTGCCAGGACTGGCTGTTCAATGGAGCACCCTGTGCTTGCCTTCTAAAGTTGCATGAGTAGATCAGCTCTTCTCATTAAGCCTGGTCCTGTCCCATGGCCCCTGGGTCCACTGGAGAACTTCAGTTCTGGAATGCTTGGGCTGTGGAAAGGAGCATGCCCCAAAAGGGGCAACAGAGAGGATATCCAGACAGACCCTAACCCACTGGCAGGGTGTGAGGGAAAGAGAAAGAGAAGGGAAGGGGAAAGGGGGGGGAAGAGAAAATGGAAAGGGGAAAGGGGGGGGGGAGTGAAAATGGGAAAGGGAAAGGAAGGAGAGAGGAGAGGAGAGGAGAGGAGAGGAGAGGAGAGGAGAGGAGAGGAGAGGAGAGGAGAGGAGAGGAGAGGAGAGGAGAGGAGAGGAGAGGAGAGGAGAGGAGAGGAGAGGAGAGGAGAGGAGAGATTAAAGAAGAAAAGTCTATTTGAGAAAGTTCGTATGTATGTTAGAAGCCAAACCCTCCCTTCATTTGTCTGAACACAAGTCACCTGCAGCAGGGACAGTGAAAGGCAAACTCAGTCTTAAATGTTTTGTTTAGCTGCTAGTTTTGAGCATCATGTTCTTTGTGACGCTTACAAACAAACACCCCAGTTGTGTTACCAGCTCTGAGGAGCTTTCACCATCCCTGCCTCTCCTTCTGCTTCTCATAGGTTTTATATCTCACGCCAACATCAGAGAACAGGGTGCCACACACCTGCTTTGCATCTAGAGCATATCTGTGCTAGAGTTGTGGCACCTCCAGAGCAGATGGGGGCTTGTGGTGCTTGGTGAGCACTAGCTGAGCCCTCGGCTGCTTCTCCTTGCCTGTATAGTACTGGGCAGAGCCTTGCAAGAGCTGCAGCTGATCCACAGGAATGCAGGACAGTGCAGCAAGTGGAGCAGGAGCTGGGAGCAGACGCTTGTACCTGTCAGAGGTGTGATGATCCCAGCCCATCCCTGACACCCAGCTGGCTGCAGGGATGTGCTCCGGGTCATGTCACCTCATTGGCAGCAATGCTGAAAGAAGGTTCCGTTCCCATGCAGGGAAGCAGCATGGTGTGACCATGCAGGAAAGCACACAGGGCTCTCTGGCTGGGGTGATGCTGGGCTGCCCCTACACCCCTTCTGAGCAGAGGCACCCCTTGGTGAGGGGACATGCATGGCCCACTCCAGGCTTCCTTTGGTCAGGGGTTTCTGAAGTTAAAGTGCATAAACCACAGGCATGGAAACCAAGTTCAGAAGGCCACCGGCAGCTTTAGAGGGGTGGAATTGTAGTAAAGCTGCTTCAGGAAAGCCAGTTCAATGAAAGCAGGGTAGTTCCAACCCAGATCTGCCCTTCTCAACAGGAAAGTGTGCTTTGTCCAAGCACAGGGGAGAACCCCAAGTCCCCGGCAGCGGTGTAGCCCTTCTGCCATCCGATCTGCAGCGATGAAGCACTGGGTGAGAGTAAGGCTCGATCTCGCTGGTTCATGAAGGGTCAAACTGCTGCGCAGCTAATCCCTGATTTATTAAGGAACAGTTCTTTCTTCTCCCATCACATCACTGCCGATGGAAGAGCAGCAGGCAGAAGTAACACATCGTAGATTCATAGGCTCACACTGACATTTCATGAACAGCAGAGAAAGGACCAAATGCAAAAAAAGAACCCAAACTGGCTCCAAGTTGATGATTTATACTGTTTTCTCAGGGTCTGTTTGCCAAGCAGCTGGTGTTTTGTGCCAATTGCTGTTACAGAAGAGCTTTCTTTGATAGGTACCATGAATGGACACTACACAGTTTATCTTAAAACAAAATCCCTCCCCACAGCTTATATGAGCTGGCAGGGAATGAGGGAGAGAAAAAGTTGGGCTTTGTTGGGGTTTTCTTTACACAGGACTCTGAAAGCACATTTGGGGGAGCCTGCATTATCTGTGCAAGAACACAACAGATGAATTCTATTAATGGCTGTAACATGTGGCCGGGTTCAGGCTAGAGTTGTCGTTTGAATATAGGAGTCAAAGCCAATTTATTGTAACATATTTTTCTTTTCAAAATATTTTAAGAAAGACAAAAAAGTTTGCACAACAACTTGGCAAGCAGGTCCATGGAGAGGAAGGAGGTATTTTCTACATTGCAGCTAACATAAGGGCTGAAAAATGTGGCAGTGCCGAGCAATGCTGGATTCCTTCTGGAACTGAGAGAAAGTGCGCAGGATATAACTGTGTAAGAGCCCAATAAATTCTGAAGGGTGGGTTTGTAACACTGCCCTGGGGGCTGCAGGTGGCTCCAGAAGAAAGTCATGGGTTTTATTTCAGGAACAGTCATCAAATGCTGTGTGTAGCCAGCTATGCACTCGTGTGGCCCCATCTAAAAGCCACAGAACTGTTTTAAAATAGAAATACCCATAACAATCATTGCATGTCTTCCATGGCAGATGGTAGAAAGATAAGTTGGAGTAGTCTGTAGTATGTGTGTGTGTGTGTGTTACTGGGGGTGTGCAAAAGCTAAGGCACAGAAATGAGCTTCCCTGGAGCTTGTGAAGTGATGAGCATCAGTGCTCCATGGTCTTCAGGGCATGGGTAGGCTTCACCTCACCATTGCTCGTTTCAGTGTTGGTCAGTCCATATTTCCCTGGATGCCATGGTGAGAAATTGCCATGGAGCAGAACTTTACTTAAGTAGCAGACCAGACCCTGGCACTACACCTTGTTATTGAGAGAACCACTGCATAACAGGGAGCATCAGAACCCAGCTGTGGATTCCTGTGTGCGGGGCAAAAATGCTGCTGCATCTATAGAGAATTTTGTGGTTGGGTTCCTGTGATGAATTGCAACAAAGTGGAGTCATAGAAATGATGTTTCTCATAACGGTTGAGACCTCCCCAGTGTATCTTATTTTCTTTGTAGCTGGGTGGCTAAGGAATACCTGACTATCGAGTGATCCAACACAGGCTGAGTATTTTTGTCTGTGCACTGCAAAAGCTACTTCCTAGATTTGGTAAAGGACTAAGTACCAAACACTGGTGGAGCAGACAGAAAACATATTGCTCCCCACGGAAACCATGGCTGAAAGAAAACAAGTAGCATATCGTCATCCCATGTTTGTTCTCATTCTATGTGTGTGTGGTTTGAGTCCCCAAGTACTCTCCCCATTGCCTTCTGAGATAACCTTTTGCCATCCCTTCCTCAAGAAGCTGCACACAGGGAAGAGGAAAGGAATCTAGATCCATCACAAAGACCAGGGAGACCTTGAAGCACTCTTCAAAGTCCTGTCCAGTTACACATTCATTTTACCAAGGAAGTTGGTAAACTCTAAACCTACTTAATCCTGCCACTAATGGGAGTCCATTAGCAGTCTCTCAGAGGTAATGGGGCAAATGAAAGCAGCACCATTCACCCCACTGGGAAGTAACAAGGCTTCTGTGTTTTCCAGGAATAGATGCCGCTTCTAGCAATGAGTCTGTAACTTCTCACTGCTGCTCACCAGATGGTGGGAACCAGCAGATGCAGAGTTGGCTCCCTTGTGGTCAAACAAACTGCCATAGGGCCCGATGCAAGTTTCCTGAATGATCCCCAGCACGGCCCCGTTACTTCTGTTAATGTTTCTCCAGCTCCTGGTACAACATTGAGGTTTTCCACTGGAACCACCTGGCACGTTTTCAGAGCCTTCCATGAGCGATGCAGTTACTCAATCCCCTTCTTATTTTGACAAAGCCTTTGTAATGGTCACTTGTCCTGAGAGCCTGTGGTCTGTGTGTCCTGTACTGGAGCTAATTGCATAAAAAGGATTACTTCCCTTTCTTGATGCTTGTTATTATTTTCATCCTTCACAAGCCATTTCTTCTGTTTCAGGATCAACACTCTGTGGTAGGCCAGGGAGCTGGCCCCACTCCAAGCTCCAGTTCTTGCTCAAATCCAAACACTGGAAGTGGTTACATGAACTCATCCCAGCAATCAATGTTGAATCAGCAACTGATGGAAAAGAAACAGGCTCTGCAGCGGCAAATGATGGAGCAAAAACAACTCCTTCTACAGCAGCAGATGTTGGCAGAAGCCGTAAGTTTTCTAATTCCTTCTTTTACATGGAAAAGATTATCATAGAAACAATAGAAAAGAAAGCTAAGACAGGGAGAAGAAAGCCCTCAAAACTTTGAGGTCATTTTGGCAATGCCTAGGCCTTCTAGAGTGTGCCTCGTATTTTTCAGCACTTTGCTTAGCCCTTTTGAAACCTTCTTAAGTTTATATGAAACAACTCAAGTATCCAAGCTACTGTGGTTTTGTTAGGAGAACAGTCTAAGCATATGCTTAATTTGAGGCACATGAATATTGTCAGTGGTTTTCTTTGCAAGATAAGCTAAGGTGCATTGCTATGCTACTGTGACCACAGAGGATGGCTGGGATGAGTTCTTCTTTCTCTATTCTTCTTTTTGCATTTCCAGATATTTACAGCCAGGTTCTCTCTCCTTTGGTATCTGAGAGACCAGTTGGGAGTTTCTGGTCATTTTAGGAGGCATGGGGAGTATTTGCAGTCTTGCTGGCAGTGATATGTGCTAGAACCCACTCGTTTAGTTCCACTAAACTGGTGTTGCCATTGATATTGCATGAAGTGAGTCAGCTGAAGGTGCTTCATGTGCCATCACCCATAGCCAGTGCAATGGGGCAGAGTCCCTGCTGCCAAAAGCAGTAGCATGTGCCCTCTGCATCCTCATATTCACTGTTCCTTGGTAGCCCTTCTTGCCAAAGCATGGAGAAGAAGTCCTGGAAGAGGAGCTGAGCTTGGCATGTCCTTGAGGCAGGCAGAAAGCAATGTGGGAGCCTTGTGGAAGCCAGGGAAGGGCTGCAGAGAGGACGCTTTGTTTCCCCAAGGCTGCAATGGCAACACACCCCAAGCCTGTGGCTTATTTACCTCGACCTGCATCTCTCAGCCTACAGGGCAGACCCATTTATGCTGGCCTGACATTTTGAATCCAAAACTCTCTATTCTCTAGAAAGATGTAGACACAATGATACACATTTAATGAATGCCATTCAGTAGTTACAGAACAACACAGAACTGGGAAAACATTCATGTGTTTATGGGGATGTTTTCTAAACAAAAATTACTCAGTTTTTTAATAGAGAATATATTTTTGTTTACAAATTTATTGCCATTAAAAAAAAAAATCCATTCGATAGCTTGGCTTTGAAATTAAGGATTTTGTTTATCCAGAGAACTAGTGGATGCCCCATCCCTGGAAGTGCTTGCACTCCCTGTATAAGAGGAAAGACAGCACCATGTACATGTAAGGGGAAGCAGAGAGCAATGGTCAGTGGCATGAAAACCAAGTGGACCAGCAGTGTCCTCTCAGTGGTTTTAAGAAAAGTTAGGCCAGACTAAAAACATGCAGCCAGCAGAAGAGTTTCCATATAAACTTCAGTGGGTGAGGGCACAGGTTCCCAAATGCATATCCTGTGGACCAGAGAGGGTGAAAGGAAGGAATACATCAGATTTGTACATAATGAGAAAAGAAAGATGTGGGCAAACACAGAGCCAGGAAAGCATAAAGCAAAGGAAATTGATATATTTCTACTCTAATCCTCTAGGAGAAAATAACTCCACAAGATCAGCTGAACAGACACTTGACACGACCACCACCAGATTATAAAGACCAAAGAAGGAATGTGGTCAACATGCAACAAGCAAACCAATATCCTGGTAAGTGCCCATGGGCTAAATAAAGCTATTTCCTTCCCTTCCTTCCTTCCTTCCTCTCTTCCTCTCTTCCTTCCTTCCTCTCTTCCTTCCTTCCTCCCTTCCTCTCTTCCTTCCTCTCTTCCTCTCTTCACAGAATCACAGAATCCCAAGGGTTGGAAGGGACCTCAAAAGATCATCTAGTCCAACCCCCTGCAAGAGCAGGGTAACCTAGAGTACATCACACAGGAACTTGTCCAGGAGGGCCTTGAATATCTCCGATGTAGGAGACTCCACAACCCCCCTGGGCAACCTGTTTCAGTGCTCCTCCTCCCTTCCTTCCTCCCTTCCTCCCTTCTTCCTCCCTTCCTCCCTTCCCTCCCTGACTCCCTCCCTCCCTCCCTCCTTCCTTCCTTCCTTCCTTCCAGCTGTAAGACCATCCAGAAGATCCATGCATGCACCAGGTCCTTATTTTCTGGGTATCCATTTACACCTCTGCAGAGACAGTGGAGTGGTGGCTGCTGCTCTCATGTGCTATTTACCTTACGATCCCACACCACTGAGAAGTGCTGATGTATGATCTGGAGAACCAGCTCCTGGCCTATCCAGGCTGATGCTGCATCTCTCAGACATGGAGAAGGAGGGGCTGGTACCCTTCCCATTAGCCTGGGGCAGGTGTGCACTCAAACACTTGATACTGAGGTGTCCCCTTGACTATGCAGCCTCACCCCACCCAGGTAGCTTCTCTTGTGTACATGGTACATCTTGTTCAGAGACTGAGAACCACCCCTCCCTTTAAATGGCAGCCCATGTACAGCATGAGGACCCTCATACTGATTGTACTGATGTACCTTGCATGACAGCATCATGGGCAAGCAGAGCAAACAGACCTTTTGGTCTGTTCAATATGCCACAGGCATAGCCTCAGTGCTGTTCTACAAGCAACATTTCATCACATCAGTCTAACAGAGGAGTAAAAGCTGCTACTTTCTACCAGAACTGCCCAAGGCAGAAAATGTCCAACACTTCAGGACAAGCCCTTTGTTCCAGCACTTGTGCCCTCGCCCCCTTGGAATCTAGTTTTGGGAGCACAGGACTGCCTGTTTCATGCCTTTCATGCTGTTCACCTTGCTGGTTAGCTGAAGGCTGCACTGAGAGCAAAGACAGAGTAAGGGAAAGATGCTGGGAAGAGGGAGAAGGTGGGGGAAATGCAGCAGATGGATCAAAGGATGTCTTTATACTGCAGAGCGTCTGTGCATGTAAGTATAAAAAGGATCCTTCGCCTTCTAGTGAATCTTTTTATACAACACACTGAGGGGAAAAAAGGATGTTTTGGTTTGTTTGTTTTTTGATAACTGTTGGCTCTGCAGATTCAGCCGGGGATCTGAGTCTTTCCTTCCTACCTGTCATTTGTAGCATTTCAGCTCCTATTAGGAATTTAATGAGTTCCCAAGTGCAGCTCACTCACATCCTACCCTTCTGCCCAGCATCCTGCCCCTCTGCAGACCTTGGCACCAAGAGCCCAGCTACACATGGGAAGGGCTGCTCAGGCAATGTTCACGCTCTCCTTTGCTTTGCTTATAAGTTCTAGCAGCAATAAACCTGCTGCATTCTGGAAACTGCTGTTTTCTTACAGGCCTGAGTGTTTATTGTGTAAGTTTGCACAAGCATCACTGATGCAAGGTAATAACCCATGGTGAGGGCAGAAAGAGCCCTACTTGCTGGCTTGGTACCTCCTCTGCTCATAAAGCAAATGCTTTGGCAACCCCAGCAATTTGTTGTGGAATCCTGTGATTTGGTGTGTTGTTTAAAGGTTCATTCCTGGAACCAAATGACTAACTGAACCAGTCAATTTCATCTCTGTACCTGGAAGCATCATGGATCAGATTCTCATGGAAACCATGCTAGGGCACATGAAAAACAACAAGGTGGTTGGTGACAACCAGCATGGCTTCACTAAGGGGAAATTGGCCAAACTGACCAATCTGGTGGCCTTCTATGATGAAGCTACAGAACTGATGGACAGGGGTAGAGCAGTTGATGTCATCTACCTGGACTTGTGCAAAGCATTCGACACTGTCCCACACGACATCCTCGTCTCTAAATTGGAGAGACATCAATTTGATGGATGGACCACTCGGTGGATAAAGAACTGGCTGGATGGCTGCACACAAAGAGTTGTGATCAATGGCTCAAGGTCTGGCTGGAGACCAGTAACGAGTGGTGTCCCTCAGGGATCGATTTTAGGACTGGTCTTGTTCAACATCTTTGTCGCTGACATGGACAGTGGGATTGAGTGCGCCCTCAGCAAGTTTGCCGATGACACCAAGCTGTGTGGTTCGGTTGATACGCTGGAGGGAAGGAATGCCATCCAGAGGGACCTTGACACACTTGTGAGGTGGGCTGATGCCAACCTCATGAAGTTTAACCAAGCCAAGTGCGAGGTCCTACACCTGGACTATAGTAGCCTTCCAGTATCTGAAGGGCCCCACAAGGATGCTGGAAAGGGGCTCTTCATCAGGGACTGTAGCGATAGGACAAGGGGTAATGAATGGGTTTAAACTTAAACAGGGGAAGTTCAGGTTAGATATTAGGAAGAAGTCCTTTACTGTGAGGGTGGTAAGGCACTGGAATGGATTGCCCAGGGAGGTTGCAAATGCTCCATCCCTGACAATATTCAAGGCCAGGTTGGAACAGAGCCTTGGGTGACATAGTCTAGTGTGAGGTGTCCCTGCCCATGGCAGGGGGGGTGGAACTGGATGATCTTAAAATCCTTTCCAACCCAAACCATTCTATGATTCTATGATTCTTGGCTTTTACTTAAAAACAACTCATTTCTAGCCCAAAAGGGAAAATGGAAATTACTGCAGCCACATTTTTGAAGGGCTCCAAAATAAGTAGATCACCATTGTTATGTGGCTCTTCTTGTTGTTCCTAATCTGATGGACTCTTTGCCAGTCTCGTGGTATTTGGAGCCCCATCTCCTGGATTTGAAACATGTGGGATTGGCAGCACTTGTCCATTCAAATCTGCAGTCCCTGATGAGTGAGCCCAGGGACGACAGCAGCTTTTTGGGAGAGCCTGAGAGAAAGGGCTGTGCTGGAAGCTCACAGCACAGCTACCAGATGGAGCGATTAGGAAACTCTTGCATAAGGGAATAACAGCAGGGAATCTGTTCCCTTTTCTGGGAATAGCTTTGCTCAGGTCATGGAAGAAGAGACAAGAAGTTGAATAAAATAACAAGGGCTCGGTGACACTTGGTTAAGCTTTTTATTGCTCTCTGCTTTTCACGATAGTGCCATGGTGAAAGAAACCCCAAGACAAGAGCAGGTGAATCGGTCAGGGAAGGCATTTCTGGGAATGGCTGCAGCCTGGGGTGCCCAGCTGCTGAACACAGCACTGCCAGGGAAGCGTTTCTTCCCATCTGGAAGAAATCAGGATGGAAAATATTTGCGTTAAAATAAAAAAGGATTAAAATAGCAATGCAAAGAAAGGGGAAGCTTCGTCTGTTGCACAACAAGTACAACCCATGTCCTGACTGCTTGTACTCTTTAAGGAGAGTGGCATTGGCAGGGCAGTGTGACGGTAGCCCTGGGATCACGCCAGGAGGGGCTTCATGCCAGTGGCACACTGGCACACGACAAGTCTACACAGACTTGTAGTTCAGATGGAGAGAACCAGCTCTCCCCAGATGGCTGTTCCAGGTCTTCTGAAACACCACTGATTCGTAGAACCATAGAATACTTAGGGCTTGAAAGGACCTTAAGATCCTCAAGTTCCAAACCCCCTGCCATGGGCAGGGACACCTCACACTAAACCATATCACCCAAGGCTCTGTCCAACCTGGCCTTGAACACCGCCAGGAATGGAGCATTCACAGCCTCCCTGGGAAACCCATTCCAGTGCCTCACCACCCTCACAGTAAAGAACTTCTTCCTTAAAATCCAATCTAAACTTCCCCTGTTTAAGTTTGAACCCATTACCCCTTGTCCTATCACTACAGTCCCTAATGAAGAGTCCCTCCCCAGCATCCCTATAGGCCCCCTTCAGATACTGGGAGGCTGCTATGAGGTCTCCACGCAGCCTTTTCTTCTCCAGGCTGAACAGCCCCAACTTTCTCAGCCTATCTTCATACAGGAGGTGCTCCAGTCCCCTGATCATCTTCGTGGCCCTCCTCTGGACTTGTTCCAACTCTTCCATGTCCTTTTTATGTTGAGGACACCAGAACTGCACACAATACTCCAAGTGAAGTCTCATGAGAGCAGAGTAAAGGGGCAGGATCACCTCCTTCGACCTGCTGGTCACGCTCCTTTTGATGCAGCCCAGGATACGGTTGGCTTTCTGGGCTGCAAGCGCACACTGAAGCTGGCTCATGTTCATTTTCTCATCGACCAACACCCCCATATCCCATTCCTGTGCTGGCATAAGGTAGCAAAGAGTCAGGGACCCCATCTCTCTCAAAAAGATGTGCCAGTATTTCCAGAAAGCAGTGAACAATGCATAAGGCACTAGCAAAGTCAAAGACAGGGCTAACTGGGAGGGTTGCTGAGCCCTGATTGTGAGTATCTGACTGTCCTTGTGGGAGTAAAACCAGGTGGATCCTCATAGCATCTCCTGTCCCAGGGACTGCCCAGCCTGGAGACTGAATTTGGGTGCTTAAGCTAGCACAGATTGTCTTTAGCAAGTGCCTCCAGCTTAGCTCCAGTTGGTGGGAAAGCTTGCCTTCCAGGATAACGTGGGCTTCTTAAGCTAGGCCTCTGTTTCTATTCATTTGGAACAAGCAGCTCTGCTTGTGGAGTCACACTCAGTGTTAATAATGATTTAGGAAGAGATTATTTTTAAGTACTTACAAAGAAGGAACCCTTTGCATCCATTAATAAATGAGAATAGCACATAGATGTATAAAAATAATGCCGAAAAGGCAAAAATAGATGGTAATTCTTTCTTCAGTCCCAGTCTGAGGGAACTGAACATCGTTATGGTGAAATTTCAACAGGAACAGTATATTAAACAGCTGTTCCTAAACATAGACTCTTTAAATATGTATGTGCATGATTTGTCTTCAAGAGTTCTGAAAGAGCTGGCTGAGAGGTTCTCCAAATTCTTAATGTCATTCTTTATTTAGTCTTGAAACTCCAAGGACGACTGCCAATGCCATGCCAAAAATTAGAAGAGTGAAGTAGGTAATTGCAGCCCTAGTGACCAAATGCAGAGCTCAGCAAAAATACTGGGGAGCTGATACAGCCTGAATAAGAAACATTGGGAAGGGAATATAATGAATGTCAGGCAGTATGGGCTGATGTAAAAGAATCTTTGGAAACCAGCATGGTATCATTTTCAGTGAAACCACAGTTTTGGTTGATAACATTAATATTTGTTCATTTTGTGTCCTTTAAAGCATCTGACTTTGTATTGCCTGTAGTGATTAAAAAAACAGAGTAATACAAAATCAGCGTAACACAAGGAAATGGCCGATAGGTCTCCAGATATCACTGCAAACAGGCTATCAACCAAAAGACAAACACAGTCTGAGATGATGCTGAACTAGAACAGCTTACTTTGCATCCATCCTGGAGATGTGCAAGAGCTGTTTCTGTGACCAACTGTGATGGTCTTGAAATAGCCTTGAAATCAAATGTTGAAAACTGTGAAGTTCTGAAAAGAGGTTAGAAGGATTGAAGGACTGGAAAACATAGAATTATAGAATAGCTAGGGTTGGAAAGGACCTTAAGATCATCTAGTTCCAACCCCCCTGCCATGGGCAGGGACACCTCACACTAAACCATGTCACCCGAGGCTCTGTCCAACCTGGCCTTGAACACCGCCAGGGATGGAGCATTCACAACCTCCCTGGGCAACCCATTCCAGTGCCTCACCACCCTCACAGTAAAGAATTTCTTCCTTAAAATCCAATCTGAACTTCCCCTGTTTAAGTTTAAACCCATTCATTACCCCTTGTCCTGTCACTACAGTCCTTAATGAAGAGTCCCTCCCCAGCATCCCTATAGGCCCCCTTCAGATACTGGAAGGCTGCTATGAGGTCTCCACGCAGCCTTCTCTTCTCCAGGCTGAACAGCCCCAGTTCTCTCAGCCTATCTTCATACGGGAGGTGCTTCAGTCCCCTGATCACCCTCAGGGCCCTCCTCTGGACTTGTTCCAACAGTTCCATGTCCTTTTTATGTTGAGGACACCAGAACTGCACACAATACTCCAAGTGAGATCTCAGGAGAGCAGAGTAAAGGGGCAGGATCACCTCCTTTGACCTGCTGGTCATGTTCCTTTTGATGCAGCCCAGGATACGGTTGGCTTTCTGGGCTGCAAGCGCACACTGAAGCCGGCTCATGTTCATTTTCTCATCAGCCAACACCCCCAAGTCCTTCTCCGCAGGGCTGCTCTGAATCTCTTCTCTGCCCAACCTGTAGCTGTGCCTGGGATTGCTCCAACCCAGGTGTAGGACCTTGCACTTGGCATGGTTAAACTTCATGAGGTTGGCATCAGCCCACCTCACAAGCGTGTCAAGGTCCCTCTGGATGGCATTCCTTCCCTCCAGCGTATCAACCGAACCACACAGCTTGGTGTCACCAGCAAACTTGCCACAGACTGAGACTGCTGTGTCTGGAGAACGATGCAGGCATGACCTGCACAGTAAGAAGGACTTGATGATGGACCAACTAATGAAATTAATCACACAGACTAATAAATATTGAAGATAAAGTCAATCAAATTCAGTGTGGTTTTGTTGTATATATGAAGGCTCAAACCAAGTTAGTGTCCGACAATTGCTACTACAAAACAGCAAAGTTCCAGGGCTGTATGTTCTTCCATTCCTCTTCTGAGTTCCTCAGGGAATTCCCAAAATCTGGTGGTACCTGTGTAGTAAGCCTATCCAACAGCTCTTATTACACTTTGGGAGCCACCCAGAATGGTACAAGAATTTAGCTTGTACTGTGCCATGTGGCAAAGATTTCCTCATTAACCCACACGCTGGGTGAAGAAACATCTTTCATTTGGCTTGAATCTGACTTCTTCTTGTAGGGCTTGTACTGGAAGTGACAGTATCAAAAGGGATTAAACTATGGAGCAGCTCATTGTGTGCCATGGGGGGCTCTCCACAGTGCCATCTACACTGGCTATGTTTAGAAACGTGGTCTTCTTCAGCCAGTCTCTCAGGGATTAATTCAGAACCTTGCACTGCATAAGCAATCACCTTACATTGCATAAATAACTTACTGTGGCCTCAAAATAGAGAGTATGTAGCTACAAATTTGCCACAAGTGAGCCTGTGTGAGGTTTGTAGGCTCTTCTTGTGATTCGTTGGCACGTGTCAGGGCAGAATGGCTTCATGCAGGCCAAACCACCTTTGGAAGATAGGCATCTTTAAGCCTTGAGCAAGTTCATGCAAGTCTTCTGAAGAGCAAAGTATCTTCTTCAAGAAATTCTGCTGCTAGAAAACTGGATTTTTAACCTGTTGGTATCTGAATCGCACCACACATTGATCTCTTGTTTGCTTTAACACTTCTGTTTTCTCCTTTCCAGGTGGCTCACCAGCAGTGACTATGAGCTCCAACATGTCCTTATCCAACCCAATTTCAACTCATAGCATCATGACCCAGAGCTCCAGCATCATGTCCACTCCTGCTGGGACCCGAATGCCTTCTGTTCCTGCCAATCGGAATATGGGCTGCTACGGGAACCTTCCTTGCAACCAACCAAGTTCATACAATGTGACTTCAGGAATGAATCAGATGCAGCCACAGAGGAACCAAAACCAAGTCCTGCCCGGTCAGAATAACCCCATGATGTCTCGACAGCAAACCATGGCACAGGGAAACAACGCAGCGGCTTTTGGGACGGCGTCGGTGGTCAACTCACAGCAAGTAAGGCCAAGTTTGAACCATGGAGCTACAGGTATCCCTGCACAAAGGCCGGCCAACGTGATGATCACAGCTACTGCCACTGCCCAGAACTGGGCGCCGCAGGAGGCTGCAGTGAAGCAGCAGGATGCACTGAAACCCGCAGGAGTCCGTTTCCCCACTGGCACTCCATATCCTAACCAGTCTTTACAACGCAGCGTAGGCAACCAGCATTTTCCTCAGCGTGCACTGGCACCTCTTAATCAGTTAACAACGGGAGTCCAAATGAGGCCTCCTATAAACCAAATGCAGCAGACTCTAAATGGACAACCCACTGGCTCACTACGAGGTCTCAGCATAAGACCTAACCAGCTGAGAGGACAGACTGTGCCTACCTTGAATCAGCCGGGAACGAGTATGACACCTCCATCATCTCTGCCATCAACCAGTTTCACATCTACCAACCAAAACTCCCGGGCTTACCAAGGAAGTGACCATGGCAATGACCTAGCATTTGACTTTCTGAACCAGCAAGGTGACAGTATAGGACCTGCACTCAACAGTGACTCAGACTTTATAGATTCTTTACTGAAAACGGAACCTGGTAACGATGACTGGATGAAAGACATCAACCTCGATGAAATTTTGGGGAACCACTCGTAAGTGACAGTACCAAGGGTCAATGAGATGAAGAGGCAGTAAGGACATTAGCTTTTTCTTTAGATGCCAACAACCTGCTTTATTAATTTACACTCCAGTAATTGGGCTGTCCTTAAAGATACCATGCAGGGCGACTGCCCTGTTTGAAGAGTTGCTCTCGGAATAAAACTGAAGTCTCCCTGATGAATGATAACATAAGTGATATTCATGCCTGCCACAAAGAAGTGAAAGCACGTGAAGGGTCTGTTCCCCACACCAGTGCCCAGCACATTGCAAACCAGTTCTTTCCAAGGAAGCAACATGGAGAAAAATGTTTACCCTCCCACACATGCAAGTACCAGACAGTGGTTGTGGAACATCATTTCTCTGTGTGTAAAGTATGAGCCCAAGTGGTCCAGAGCTCTTCAACCATCATGTTTATGGCCCTTAACTTCCTCAGGACCACTCAGCCCTGATGGCATCAGGCCCTGTGTAAATCTTATTGTGTTAAAAAAACTGTTCACTTCTACACAGTACAAACTCACATGTGCTTTCCCAATGATTTTGGTTTAAGCCCTCTATGTTTTGTAGCACACAAAAGGGTAAGTGGTCTTGTCCAAGGGAAGAAGGAAACAGATCATCCAGTGCGTTACTTGGTGTGCTCTGGAGTTCACTTCCTCCCTTTCATCAGTGCTTGCAGCACCTATCAGAGGACGCTACTGTCCTGCCAGCAGCACAATCACTTTGGGCATTGAGGAAAACATGAGATGAACTACACCAAAGCTCAGGATCCTCACTTTGCCACCTTGCCTACCCCAGGGACTCCAGGGACTTAATGGACAACTTAAGTGAGAAGGGTGCTCATGGTTTGACCCTCACCAACTACTTTCCCAGCCCAGCTTAGAGGAAGGCAAATCCATGAAGTGGCTCAGCTAAGCTGCTATCCTCTTTAGGTAGTTCAGCCTGGTCCTCTTCAACTGAACAGGTTTACCCCAGCAGAAATGCCAGCATCTCTGTCTGGGAAAAGCTACAGTTCTGACTGCACAGCATTTTGGCTCTATCCTCCTATCCCTTCGCCGTATGGGGAGAGCTAGAAGAGGTCCAGTTGTGGCCCAGGTCCCCACAGCCTCCATCAGGCAGAGTCTGAGTGGCTCTGCCCCTGAAACTGGCATGAAATCAGTTACAACCACCTGGGATACTCACAGTAGGAGGCTCTACTCAGCCACATCTGTGTATGTAAATGAGGCAGTTTGGGGCAATATTTCTGGGTGCTGGACTCAATCATCTGTTCTGGGTTTGGGGATGGCCCAGTTAACCAATGCATCAAGAGGGGGTTAACCCTAGGCAAGGACCATACCTGTAGACAGTTGGCAGCCACCTTGCAGCCACCACAGGCAAACAGCAGAGCAGGGAGGATACAGGTTGTTCCAACCGCTTGGTGACAGGGAATAGTCTCAACCATGTTAAAAGTTTCTCCTCTAGACTTGGTCAGTGACATCAGAAGGAGGTGCTGTGTCACTGTAAAGCAGCTCTGCAGGGAGTCACACAGGAGAATTCACAGAAGGGAACAGACCTTACAGGTCAAATGAAAATGCTGTTCTTCAAAATGATGTGGTGTGATGTCTTTTACAGCCTCCTCTGAATTAGCTAAAACGATATGTGGCAAAAGAATACAATGCCTGCATTCACACGCCTCGGTGCCAAGAGGCATTGCTCTGCCCCATGCAAGTTCTTTATTCATCCTTGTTAGTGACACTGGGATGAGTAGACTACTTGACAATAGCATCTGCACTTATCTGACCTAGTTCTCAAGACAGGCTTTAATAAGGCTTTTCCAGTCATTTCACCCTGTCGTTCTATGTGGGCCCAATTGTTCATGATGTTTCAAGATGTTTCAAGAAGCTGGTGCACAAACAAGCACCAGCACCTCCAGGAAAGGTGTAACACAGCATTTAGCTAGATGTGCCAGCTAATGTGGGCTGGTCCGTGACACATTTGTCATCGGAGAGACAAGAAAGCCTGCTGAAGAGTCCCTTCTGCTGTCCCAGCTAGTGATGGTTGCACACCCCTGCACTGTGTAACGTGGTGGCTCAGCTGCCCAGAAAGCTCCCTCTTGTCTCCAGTTTGGCTGCGGTGCACATGGTCCCTTTGATATGCCAGTACAAGATTTTCCAAGTCTTTAAAGAGCTTTTCAGCACAGGTCAGCATCCCACCTCAGTTTGGAGAGATACAGATGCAGTCCAACAAATGAGTCCCCAGTAAACTAGACTGCAATAGCAGCTACATCAGTTCAAAGTGGAGGGAAGATGGGCTCATGTGGCTCATACAGAGGCAAGCACCACATCCATGAGCAGGTCAGCACTGACTGCCAAAGCTCTGGTAGGAACAGACAACTGCAATGACGCTCATGCCAAGGCTGAGTTAGTATCTTCATGCGCAGAGGGCACTGAAGTCAGGTAATTTCAACTACCCTCACATGCCATTGAAGAGGCCACCACTGGTTTCTGTATTAAGACAAGACTGTTTTCCAGATCCTCAAATGATGTAAAAAAATTGTTCAGCTGAGGAGCTGGTCCCAAGGATTCAGGATATCATCCAGTGGTGGATTCAAAGCTGAGCTTTGCCCTGTTGGCCTCAGCATGGAGTGAAGAAGACACTGGGATGTGAGTGTCATCCCTGGGATCAAAATGTCAACCTGTCTGAAGTAAATTCTACAAAGGCAGAGGCCATTTGCAGTCCTGATGCATCTGGAATGTGAGCTCAAAAGACTCTTGCAACCAAAACTTGAATCCAGTATCATTTCTTCAGAACACCTGTATCTGAACAGAGCTAGTGTCTTTTTCCTCCTTCTTTGCCATGGCTAAGTGCACTACCCTTATAGTCTATTTTTCATCATGGACTGGGCACTCTTCGCAGTATTGGGTTGTAAATATAAAGAATTATTTGTTTTGTAAACTTTTGTAAAAAAAAAAGAAAAACCAACCAAAAAGTAATAATATTTTGGTAGGAATAATAAAAATCATATTATTTGGGTTATATTTATACATATGTGAAATAAATATACTATCAAAAAAGTTGTATTTTATACAAGAAGTCAACGGTTACCTTTTGTATTCTATATACAAAGTTTTGTATGATACAATTGTTTATTTTTATCTGCAGACTTCAACTTTGGGTTCTGGGGGAGGGCAGAATGGGATCGTGGTTCAACAGCTGGGTCTGACCCCAAGCTCACCGAAACCAATGGAGTCTTTCCATTGCCTTCACAGGGCTTTGAATCAAGCCTTTAAATCACCTTCAGATATGTTTGACATCTGAAGCTCTCTGGAAACCTCAACATGAAAACATTCCAGGTTTCACATTTTTTCCCTGAAAAAAAGGCTTTTATTATTAATATTATTATTGTTACTATTACTGCAGCTCTTGGGAGGCAGGTGGGACCTATGTAATTGTCATGTCCTTGTTGCATGTATGTCTGCTTTATATTTTCCCCATATTATAAACCAGTGTTTCTCTATACAGACTGAAATGAAAAGTTGCTGTACAGAAATGTTTGTGTTTATGCATTTTTACGTGGCTGTATATACCTCCTAGTACTATGCAGTGACACTTATTTGACTCCATTTATTTTTCACCTAAACATGAATAGTATGTTTTTCAGTAGCTATCAAAACTCTGCCAAGTAAATCAATCAAAATTATCCCAAGCGTCTCATTTCTTAATGTGGATTTTATAATGGATGTCTGTTTAGTCAACTGCTGGTTTGTTCTGAGTACATTAAAATTGCAGTGATATTTTAGGAGGGGGGTGAGAAAAATGTGCATCTGGGAGCTCCGTCTGCCTCTTTGCAGGAGAGCTGTGATGTTTTCCTACTGACTGAAGACGTGGTTTCATTATCCACAAGGGTTAACAAGTAACACATGGTATTTTAGCTCCTGGTGAATGGGGTGGTGTTGTCTTGCAGCACAGTGATTTCCTATGGGGTCCTACGAAAGTTGAAGCAGAGAGCTGGGTACACCAAGAGGGCTGACCAGGTCCCTAAGTCCATGCCCTGCCCTAGATCATACCCTGGAGATATCTGCCCTTCTCTCCCCACTAGCAGCGACCACTAATGAAATGCCAGAAACCAGGCAATGGGCTTCTCCTCCTTCCCTCCCTGCTTGCCTTGCTTTATGCCTCGTTTTAGCCTAAAGAAATGCCAGCGTGCACCAGATCACATTAGGCTGTGGATTGTATTCATCCCTGCCAGACTACTTTTAGCAGGCCAGCCCTGAGGAAGTGATGTCCTTCCTGTTCCTTGAGAGGCTTTCCTCTTTATCCAGGCTCCATCTCCAATTGGGTGGCTCTTCCTTCCTCATGAACTGAGTGGCAAGGGGTGGCAGAGAAGATGCTTTGAAGGGATAAATGTCAGCACAGCACTACCCATGCTCGAAGTCTGTGCTGTTTTCAGATGTAGCAAATGAAACGGGGCTCCCCACACTTCAGTTGCTTCACTGCTGGTGATGCTCAAGGGCTTCCATGAAGCACATGTTTCCCTGTGCCCACCTTCACCCATGGGGCACGCACAAAGGCGCCTTCCATGGCTGCCACCCAGGACCCCAGCTCTGCTGGCTGCTTCCCTCCTGTTTTTTTATCCCAATATATCTGATTCCCACCCACAAATAGCTCTACAAATAGCATCTGGGGCTGCACAGGGAGGGACAGGGGAGGGATCCTGGCTCGTGCTCTGTGCCCTGCCATCCCGGCTGTGCCCATGCTCTCCATCCCAACTGGAGATGCTGAAGCACCAAGAGGTGCATGGCCCTTGCCTTGCTTCAGCATCTCCGACACAGGTGGCAGACAGTGCTCCCCTTGCACTCCAGGGTCCTGGAACATAGGGCACAGCCCCACCTACCCAAGAGTATGTCCGAAATAGGTCAGTGAGCTGAAAACCTCCCAGGCCCTGGAGCACAGCCTGTGCCACCAGGCTGTGAAGGTCCCTGGTAGTGCTTGTGTGCAATGATCATCCTCACAGACAGGTCCTGCAACCAGGAGCAATTCCAATTTGGATGCAAGATAAGAGGTGTAAGAGGGTATAATAATATGGACACAAGTCACCCTGTGCCACCTCCATGCCATCCCCAGGTCAGTCTCCTGTGCCCAGGCTGACATTTGCAACAAGAACACATGGAGGGGTTGGGAGACATGGGTGGCAGTGAATGCTTTCCCTGCCCAGCCAGATGCAGAAAAGCAGGAACTGCACCAGGTCCTGGCGAGCGCTAACCTTTCCCACTGCATCCGAACACAGGGTGGGAAGCACTGCGACCTCGACTGGGCGAACAGCCAAGAGCTCTGCTCCCTCCCATGGCAGCACAGCGGCCTGACAGCCACAAGAAAGAGGGATGACGTGGAGAAAATCCTGCTGCAGTAAAAGCTTAGACTATAGTAAGAGCTTGCATCACCCTAATTTTTATGTTAGGCATCCTGGGTCACACAGACCACTTTGACAGAGCCCCTTTAATGGGGTTCCAAATCATATCCCAATTATCAGTTTAAATAAGATACAGAATTGATTTCATTATTTTATTCTAGCTCACAAAGTTGTTACAGACCAGCTCAGACACAAATTACTGTCTTACTGGAGGACTCACAGGATGAAATCCCAATCCATGTGCTACAGAACCCATCAGGTGAGCTGAACCCACTTGGAGCACTGCATACAGTTTCAGTGTCCCCAACATAAGAAGGACATGGAGCTGCTGGAGCAAGTCCAGAGGAGGGCCAAGAGGATGATAAGGGGGCTGGAGCAGCTCCAATACAAAGACAGCCTGGAGAAGAGAAGGCTGCATGGAGACCTCAGAGAAGCTTCCGGCATCTGAAGGGGGCCTATAAGGATGCTGGGGAGGGACTCTTCTGCAGGGACTGCAGTGATAGGACAAGGGGTAATGGGTTAAACAGGCAAAGTTCAGGTTAGATAAAAGGAAGAATTTCTTTACTGTGAGATTGCTGAAGTGCTGGCACAGGGTGCCCAGAGAAGCTGTGGCTGCCCCACCCCTGGCAGTGTTCAAGGCCAGGCTGGATGGGGCTTTGAGCAACTTGGTCTAGTGGAAGGTGTCCCTGCTCATGGCAGGGGGTTGGAACTGGATGATGTTTAGGGTCCTTTGCAACCCAAACCATTCTATGATTCTATGAAAGCAGCCTGTTTAGGACTTAAAATTCTGGTTTTAAGATGACAAAGAAGAAACCCAACCCCAAACTAGGATTTGCCAGTCTTGCATTATTATTATAAGGAACTGCTATGAAATAGCTGAAGCTTAAGTTATTGTTTTCCTGTAATGATTCAACCTTCTCTCTGCTGAAGATCAAGATCCCAGCATGCGGCTGCAGCTGCTGGTGACTGTGTGTTGATGTTTGTGTCGTTGCTGCCTGGGTGCCAGGTTAGAGGAGCTGCTCAGGACATGCAGTGACAGATCCAGCATCTCCTGCAGCAGCACGGCTAAAGCCCCTCTGGCTGCTGTGTGTGTGCCTGGTGTGCAGCTCACGCTCCCCAGACATGTTCTGCATTCCTGTACACGGATTGAGACAACAAAAATGCTCTATCTATGTTTTTTGGAGGGCTGCCTGCGATGTTTTCACTCTGGCTGACTGTCTGCCTTGTTCTACAAGACACAGATCCTCTGTTTTATCCTTCGTGTGCAGGAACATCAGGAAAATCCTGTGGTGCTGTGAGGCATCTGGGTGAAATGCTGACTGCAGTGCATGCATGCAGCTCATGTTCAAGTTAACAGATCTGATGGCAAAATCTACCCCTCAGTGTTGATTTGACATGAAAGGAAGAGGTTCCTGGTCATTGTGAAGGTCAATGAACATTCACAGAAGGGCAGAGATTGCCCTTGACACCATTATGTGGAGTGACATGGTGAAAATAAAACCAGGAATGTATTCAAATTGCGTTTTGTGCTGACCTGGTCTTTAAATACAACAGGGAAGAGCACTAGCTCCAGAGAACCAGCTAACTGAGGAATGTTTACTGGAAATCATTGTGATAGTATTTAAGGATCTAATTTGAAAAGCTCCTTCTTGCAGGAGTAGCTCACAGGGCTAGTTCCATAAACTGATCTCATGAATAACTGGGCACACATGCCAGTCAGGTTAATATATCAGTATAATTCATATACAAATGTAATTTCCATCAGTGAAAGACATCTAGTTTCTCTAGGAGAAGCCTATCTGGGGACTCAGCAAGTTGCTGCATCCCTTTAAATCTATTTTAGAAGGAATTTGATAGATTTTCCTTAAGTGTAGTTTTTAAAGAGAGAACTGTGTCAGAATGCATGTGCCATATTATTTGATTCATCAAACTTAGCATTGTCTTTAAGGTGAATACTGAGGAATGTCTCAAAATACATGCATTGGCCAAAATAACACTTTGTGAATCCTCACAACAACTTTGCCAATGGTGGTTTATTCTCTTTTTGAGTTCCTTCTTCTCCTAAGGACCTGCTTTTCTTCCACGTTACTTGCCCTTCAGCAAGACTTCTAGTGGTGTATGTTACTCGTAGTAACTCTGTATCTGAACTCTACATCAAATTAAAACTGGTGTAAAGAAACCTGTTGTACTCTCTCCTGTGGTTTCCTTAGTGTGAACATGCTACCCTTGGTCTGTTGGATAGCCAGGCTCATAGGATGTCTACAGCAGAGGCAAGACCAACCTCTTATGTTCCCAAAAGCCTCATCAAAGCTGCAGGGCTACATGGTATCCCCATCTACATGTGAGCAGCAAGTTAACTGCATTAGTACAGCTAAAATCAGGATTTCATGCATAGCACTCCCTCAGGGCCAGCCCTTCCCTTAATTTCAGAAACTAATCCACTAATCAAAGGAGTTTGCCCATATTCATGTTGCATCTTTATATTATAATGTGTCACGGTGGTCTTGATTAATTGTGTAGATCTTGCTATAGTAAAGCCATTGCATGCTAATCTTATGAGTTAACTTTCCTTTCAACCCCAGAGACTTAGTCCACTCTGTTTTACCATATAATCTCCTAGCTTCTTATATCCAAATACCAACAGACTATCTGTTTATGCTGGGGAGTTTAAAACCTTCTCATAGAAAATGTCTGGAGTGTTTTAGAGGGTTACAAAGAGAAGCTTCCCAATGTCAATAAGATGCCAGTGCCTTTTAAAGAAGTGTATCATGAAGAAACAGGGAAAAAAAAAAAAAGAAACCATCCTGAAAAACATTTCATTACTTTTTTAACTCTGAATGTAGTCTTTTTGCAAGTGACTCAAGTGCATAAACGAGTAGAAAACCGCAGAAATACTCTTTTGTTACAGCTGTGATTTTAAGACTCAATAGTGGCCTATTTTGGTTTTCTTAAAGAAAAAATAATAAATCAAACAGTGTCCTTTTCATACCCTTTGCTGTGCCTCCAAAGCCTCCCGCTATTAGAGCAGGTTTAGCTTTCAGCAAACGAAAGCGTGCAATAAAGTCTCTCAATGACCACAACACCTCAAAAGTGCAGTTGTGTATCTGGATGGCAGATTAGCCCCAGAATTTCTACTTTATATTAAGCTATTTAAGGTGCCATCAGAGGATGCTGACACCAGGCTTTGCAGCCTTTGTTACAAGGCAAGATTTTCTAAATGGAACCCAAAGCCTGGCTCCCATGGCCACGCTGATCAAAATGGGGATGCCTGGCTCTCAGATTTTAGCCCC